TAGAGATGAGGTCTTGCCAAGTTGCCCAGGTGGGTCTTGAACCCACGGGCTCAGGCAATCCACTCACCTCAGCCTCTCAAAGTGCTGGGATTACAGGCTGAGCCACCGAGCCCGGCTGCACTCTACATTCTTAGTCCAACATGACCCCGCCAGACCACCCTTGCTCCTCTGAGCTCATGCCCAAAGTTTTACCAACCAGGTGGGTAAGATTCTGCTCTGAGTGGCAGGAGCTCACACCAAGGGAGCAGAGGCACCACTGCCAAGAACCATCTGGTCGTGGGAGGCCATGGTGAGGGAGCGGGTGAAGCTTGTCCTCACAGATCACAAGGCACCCTATAAGTGCTGCCTGCTCCTTCCTGTCTGAGTCCTCCCATTCAAGAAAGCAGCCAAGACACAAGACACGAGTTGACATTTATTCTTGGAAAAAACAGTCGAGAAGGTTTTCCCATGGGCCCCTGTCCTGCCGAATGACCTCTCTTTTCTGACCCCAGCTGCCATCAGTGCTCATTATGATGCTGCTACTTGGGTGAGGGGTTCTTCCAGGTACTGCACCAAGGCCTGGGCCTGCAAGATGGGGAACAGAAATCAGTCCATCACGTGGCCCGCCACTAGGGGGATCCCAAGTCCAGGTCTGCTCCCAACCATACTGAGCAACCAGCCCCCAGCCCCCACCTTGGGAGTGCTCTTGGGATTTAGCTCACACCAGGCATGGACTGAGTGGAGGGGAGGACTCCAGAAAAGCAGTGCTGGTGGGAGTGATGGAGCACGAAGGCTGGGCCCAGGAGGGATAGGCACACTTACCTTGGCTTTGAGCATTCCGAAGCCCACAGTCTCCTTGGCATACATACACAGCAGAAGGTTGGCCACTCGGGTGATGGCGACACGGCCCTCCTGGTGGGAATGACATGATGAGATGTGATTTCTGCTTGGCACTCATAGCCCCTTTCTTACCCAAGGGCTCCTCTGGCCCAGAAAGACTATATTTTCCTTCCGTGCCCTGAGCGCAGCAGGAGGTTCAGTGAGAAAGCTTTGGTCACAGCCCTGGACATGGGGTTCTGAGCCCAGGCTCTAGCCTCAGCACAGCCACGTTGTCCTGGGAAACTTGGTCTCCCAGAAACTCAGTTTCTCTTTCTGTAACCCTTTCCCCACCCCCATAGGTGGGGGTGCTGATTCACATGAAGGAGTTTTGTATCTGCCTAGGGATACAAGTCAGTGGTGTTATTATTATGGGCTCACCCCAAAGACACTGAGAGGGGGATGGGAGCAGTAACCCAACTGATATTTCTCCTCCTTCCCACAGTAATGCTTTTCAAACTGCAGGTTTGACCTCACAGGAGACAAATTAAGGCTGATCAGCAACAAGTAAAAGGAGAAGGCCTATAATCCCAGCACTTTGGGAGGCTGAGGCGAGAGAATTGCCTGAATCCAGGGGTTCGAGACCAGCCTGGATAACTTGATGAGACCTCATCTCTACAATAAATCAAAGTTAGCCAGGCGTGGTGACATGTACCTGTGGTTCCAGCTACTTGGAAGGCTGAGGTAGAAGGATCACCTGAGCCCAGGAGGTCAAGGCTGCGGTGGTCGTGAGCTTGCCACTGCACACCAGCCTGGGTGACAGAGTGAGACTCTGATTCAACGACTAAAAGGAAAAAAAGAAGGGGAGCTGGGCACAGCTCACACCTGTAACCCCAGCTACTTGGGAGGGAGGCAGGAAGATCGCTTAAGGCCAGGCATTCAAGACCAGCCTGAGCAACAAAGGGAGGCCCTGTCTAAACAAACAAATTAGTAGAACATAGTGGCTTGTGCCTGGAGTCCCAGCTACTCTGGAGGTGGAAGCATCCCTTGAGCCCGGGAGTTCAAGGCTGCAGTGAGCTATGATGGTGCTACAGTACTGCAGCCTGGGTGACAGAGTGAGACCTTGTCTCTGAAAAATAAAAGAAGAGAAGAAATGAAGTGCATAGCATGTAGTATCATGAAACTTGTTTTAGATGGTGTGTGTGCTGGGTTCCAACTTCAAATGTGCTGGTTTGTTGTTGTTTTTTGTTTTGTTTTGTTTTGTTTTTGAGTTGGAGTCTCACTCTGTCACCCAGACTGGAGTGCAGTGGCCGCTCCCGGCCACCGCGGCCTCTACCTGCTGGGCTCAGGCGACCCTTCCACCTCAGCCTCCCAAGTAGCTAGAACTAGAGGTGCACGCTAGCATGCTTGGCTTATAACTACTTGCTATTTATTGTAGAGATGAGATCTCATCAAGTTGCCCAGGCTGGTCTCAAACCCCTGAGCTCAGGCAATCCTTTCGCCTTCGCCTCCCAAAGGGCTGGGATTACAGGCTTAGCTACTACGCACCTGGCCATATTTTTTTTTTTTGGAGTGAGTCTCATTCTATCACCCAGGTTGGAGTACAGTGGCATGCTCACAGCTACTGCAGCCTCAACCCGCTGGGCTCAGATCATTCTTCTGCCTTAGCCTTCCAAGTAACTGGAACTACAGGCATGCCACCATGCCCAGCTAATATTTTTATTTAGTAGAGACGAGGTCTTGCCATGTTGCCCAGGCTGGTCTTGAACCCCTGGACTCAGGCAATCTTCTTGTCTCTGCCACCCAAAGTGCTGAGATTACAGGCATGAGCCACCACGCCCGGCTCAAATGTATTTCTTATGACTGTGCTGTGGTCAAAATGTTTCAAAGCTATTGCCCCACACCATCAGCTCTAGGCAAGGTTATCTACAAGGAGTCATCAGTTAAACTGAAACGGCACTAGTTGGGCAGAGAGTGGGGAAGAGCAGGCAGCTGAGTTACAGTGGAGATCCTTCCTGGAGGGGTCACCCTTGGGGCCATTTGATCTGGCTTCACTGCGTCTCCACTGCATGCTGACAACCACCTACTGCACCTCAGCCTCTCCAGCCTCGTCTCTTACTACCCTCCCCCATTCTCAAGACACTCCAGCCATACCAATCTTGTTGATTTTCTTTCTTTTTTGAGTTGGAGTTTCACTCTGATTCTATTTTTTTTTTTGAGTTGGAGTCACTCCATCGCCCAGGATAGAGCGCAGTAACATGTTTACGGCCATCGCAGTGTCGACCTGCTGTGCTCAGGCAATTCTTCCGCCTCAGCCTTCCAAGTAGCCGGAACTACAGGTATGCACTACCATGCCCGGCTAATTTTTTGACTTATTGTAGAGATGAGGTCTCACCAGGTTGCCCAGGCTGTTCTCGAACCCGTGGGCTCAGGCAATCCTCTCACCTCAGTCTCCCAAAGTGCTGGTACTTTAGGGGTTTTTTGGTTGTTGTTGGAATCTCACTCTGGCGCCCAGGCTGGAGTGCAGTGGCATGTTGATGGCCACCGTAGCATCAACCTACTGGGCTCAGGTGATCCTTCCGCCTTAGCCTTCCAAATAGCTGGAACTACAGGCATGCACCACCATGCCCAGCTAATTTTTTTATTTACTGTAGAAATGAGGTCTCACCAAGTTGCCCAGGCTGGTCTCGAACCCACGGGCTCAGGCAA